AGTCATTCCTTGACCTAGATTTTAACCAATCCAAAGATCTGTGAATAGATTAATACGCCCGCGCTTTTAACAAACGATTTAGCTTGGATGGATACGAAAAGATTCGACGTAATCCATTTGAAAAACCAGAGTAGAGAATTCCAAATATAAATAAAATTTTTTCCGGTGCTAAGACCGCTAAAATTGCTAACGACAACTTTTGTTTCTTGATTAGCAGGCTTAATAAACTCTACACATTAAAATATGTGCAAATAAAGTTCATGCCTCTGATAATTTTTCTCCAATAGCAACCTTCTTATACCAAATAGTTTGCTAGATTTAGCCAATTTAAAATTCGGGAATCAACTTCATGGACATAAAATTCTCGCCTTTGATCTCCTAAAATGATCGTCAATTCTTTAATTAAACAGTTAGAAAGAAAATTAAAATGAATAAAGAGAAAATGAACTCGTACGAAAAAATGTACGAATTAAATGCAATATTAAATAGCCCAGTGGTCGCCAGCCTTTCTGACCTCGCGGACCACTAAACTCACAATTTTGAATCCCGCGGACCACTGTCGTAAATGTTTTTAATTATTCAAAAATCTGTAGAATAATGATCATAAAAGTTCCATTTTACCTCATTAGTATGAAATTCACTCGTATAATATTCGTAATTATAACAAATTAGTAAGAAGTTTGTTGCTGCTTGTTTGAAATAAGTTTATGGATTCTTGGTCTTTTTCACGAAGGACGACAATCGCACTCACATTATTTACTGTTGATTATTTATTGATTTGATTGACTGTTATCAATAAATACTAATGTCATTTCGTGTTTAGGGGTTTTTAGATCGATTGTAGTGAGAAAAAGCAATCAGGCATTTTGCATTTTCTTTCTTAATTTAATACTTTACGTAACCTTGAGTTGATCAATGTCCAAATTTCTCCACCTTCACTAAAATTTTCTCGCGGATCATCAGTGGACCGGTTGGCGACCGCTGAAACAGACTATTTAAAATAAATTAAATAATTTATAAAATGTAAAATTTATTTTATTTTACACTTTTTTGTACTCAGTTTAATATTATAATTTATTATATTTTTTTAACGTGTGGAGAAAATAAATTTATATATTCAATTTTTAACTGAAGAATACAGCTATAAATAATGCTATATGGAAATGATATGGAATTATAAACTGCAGTGACTTTTAAATGCTATTAAATAATAAATATTTAAAAAATTTTTAACTCGACATGAAATATTTGAAATTGGTTTCTCATATTTAAATGATTTTAGTAGATTTATATTTTGATAGTATTTACATAAATTTATATTTATTATTTATTCAATTGACAATTAATCACTATAACATACTGAATATAACTATCAATACTATACAAAATTTTATCTAATCGATTTAACTGTAAAATATAATTTCCTACAATTTTAGCCAGTTTGATTTAATTAAGACATTTTCAATTTACAATAACATAAACTATATTAAATCAAATCTAGTTTTACTATCCGTTTACAAACTAATTTAATTTATCTTTTAATTTTATTAATTGTTAAAAGTGAACATTTACATCATCGCAGATGTAAGTGAAAAAATTTATACTCATTATATAAAATTAAAATAAATCAGACGTAAACAAAAAATTAATGGAATAAAACAAATAAAAATGGTATAAAAATTTTTATCCTTCACAAATATTCATAAAAATGTCATTTAAATTAGTGTTAGGCCTGTAAGTGACAATAAACCACTTTGATAACAAATTTTTGGTTAATTTTTTACTTAATTCATATTTACATAATATAATTGAATAATTGAAATATTTATTTATAATTGAAGTAAATATTTTTCATTATTTTTATACTTTATTTTAGTTTTTATCAGTAATATTAACCTATTTTAGTTAATAAATCAAAATTTATTTCAAAACTGATATTTTAACTCTATTAAAGTTTTATTTCCAGGATAAAACACATATTCATAAAATAAGTTTGATTCATGAAGGATAATGCTGTAAATGGAAGGAAGTAGAAAATGAAAGAAAGTTTTGAATAAAATTTTAATATTATACCACTACAATTAATCTGTTTTTAAAATTTATTTCTGTTAAATTTGTTTATTTGTTATATATTTTCTGTATAAATTTAAAAATCTTTCTAGTCATTGGCCAAACTGCTTCGACAGAAGCAATTTGGCCAATGAACAGAAAGAATTAAAGGCTTAGAATATATTTAAAATAAGTCACTTTTTGCTGTAATGTTTAATTAGTTTACTAATATTTAATTCAAAACTTACAATTAGCAATAAATTTGAGTATCTTTAAATGTGATTAGTCAGGCTTAAGTATGATAAAGTAAGACTTGATGTAAGCTACATTATTTTAAACAATTTCATTTGTATTTATCCATTTATTAAAATTCTGAAAGAGAAAAATTAATTTTAAAAATATTATTTAAAATTATTTTTAGTTCAATAAATTAATATATTATTTCGATAGCTGATATCATTTTTCACTAAATAAATTTCCTGGTTTCCATAACATAAAAAAATAAAATAAAATATAGTATTTAAAAATTGATGAGATGCTTAAGAAAAACATGACATTCAACCTCAAAAACTATTGATAAAAATTGAGAGATAATCTGTTGATTTCTCCGAACTTTTTTAGTTTAAAGCTATTGATTTAATTGTATTTTTAATATTATTAAATAATTAAATAAAACGAACTAAAATTTTTCACTTCTATAGGTTACAAGATGATACAACAGATTTAGTTTAAGGAACGTTTGATAAAGAAAATTCAACAAATTGCAAAATGCATTAACATTATGTAAGAATTATTTATATTTCTCAATATATTAATCGAGAAAGATTTTTTTAAATAATTATTTTAGCAATAATACGTGTAAAGACATAGTTATTAAACATAAGTTATTTTGTATAATTGGTAAAAACTTTTTAAATATTTTTATTTAATAACATGTACCGTGTATTTCTTTAGAATAAGGATATAATGTTTAACATTGTTCAATAAATAAAACAAAGCGACAATTTCACAAGGAAATTGTCTTATTTTTAATAAAATATAACTTTTTTGCAAAAATCTATAGCTACTAAAACGTATGTTTAAATGATGTTGGAAAATGATAATATTCTCGAGTTTATAAATTTGAAATATTTCTGATCACGTTCAAAGGACAACAAATACTAACTTGTATTCTAATTTAGCTTAACTTGTTAAAATAATTCACTTTTAATATACAGTATTTTTTAAATTCTTAAAAAAAATTATAAAGTAATACGATTTAAAAATATGTAGTAAAATAATTCAAATAACAAAATTAATTTATAAGGGATTAATATATACTCGACACTTGCTAATGTGGCCATTCTTTGGACATGGATAAGCGACAATGCCGGATTACTGAGTGTACGCTATTGAGAGTTGGTGTAAAACCTGTCTAAAAGTAAAGAATCAGTAACGAAGCGTGACCTGTCACCCTTCGTTACTGATTCTTTCTGGTTCTGTACCAATTTTGTTATTGTGAAATTACGTACAGTGATACAGTAAATCCTTATAAATTTAATGTTACAAGTTTACTATGTGTATTTTTAAGAAAACATGACTACGAGTAAGAGGCAAATGTATGATGGAGTTATGTCGGATTGTTAAGAGACGGATTAGCAAGAGTGTACAGCATGTTTATTGTTTGTTATTTCAATTTATCAAAAATGTTTTCTATTTTAGAATTTATTTTCATGAAACTGTGAATGTGAATTATGATATCAATTATGTCACTTTATCACTTTTTTTTATCTCACGAATATTTACACCATATAACAATTGCTTCTTTATTGTAGTCACGAGAAGTTGTTATGTGATATTTCGAATGAGCGTGGGTGTATTAATGTTATAGTTGAAATATTATTTCCTTGATTTATAACGATTGTATCTTTACTAAGCTTACAAATCTCGAAAAATTTTTAGGTAGTTTAAAATTTCAACGCCTATTTCCTATATAATTAAAATGCTATATACCTGTTACATTTTAAAAATAAAATAAGATTAAAAGTTATATTTAAAAAAAATAGTTAAATCCTATATTTATTCTGTTAACAATATCAACTTTTGTGTATGAATAATAAAAGCATTTTAATATGAAAATAATATTTAAAATTTTATTTCAGTTATCCCAGATGAAATAATGATCCTTCGTATTTATATCATGTGGAAAACAGGCATTGTTTATTATCTATAAGATTTATTTTATCAAAATGTTTGACTATAAAGTAAATTTTTGAAGTAAAATCTTTTAAATAGTTGTCTTAAACATATAATTTATTATACAAAAACATTAATTTTATATAAAAATAATATTTTTTATAATACAAAGTATGACCTACTAATTGTAACAATAAACACTACAAAATAATGGAATATTATTATGAAATATCTGGAGGAAGCATTGTAAAATATCAATTATTCATTTATTCAATAAAGTTTTCTGCATAATTTTATATTGCNTATGGGTTATTTTTTCTACTTTGATTCTATTTAAAATCTTCGATTATATTGTAGAAAGCTAATTACATAAAATAATTGCAATGAAATAATAATGTTAATAAATTAAAACTTTTCGTAAAAGAAAGTGTACAAAAATTCTGAATAGTTAAAAAAGCATGGAAAGACAAAGCGAAATTTATAAATTCAATTGCATTTTTATTTGCAAATAAAAGAAAATAATATATAAACACAGATGATATCACATGTTTGCACATTTACATAATAAACAAAGAACATATAACAAATAGCGGACTGCATACCAACCAATAACGCCTCACCACTACGTATGACTATTTTGTCTATATAATAAACTTACACATTTTATACTGTACATATATTTCCCATTGGCTAACAAGCATTAAGCGAATTCACAACGCGATACATACAAAATATTGTTATTAATTAATATAAACAATTTACAGCAGTAATGAGTATTATCTCCTGTAGCTTTTGCTACCATTGCCATTTCCATTGGCATGACCTCCATTTCCATTTGAGTAAGCAGCTCCGTTTCCATTTCCATTTGAGTAAGCCGCTCCGTTTCCATTCCCATTAGAATAGCCATTACCATTTCCGTTAGCGAAACCATTACCGTTGCTATAAGAACTTGCTCCATTTCCATTTTTATATGCTGCGCCATTTCCGTTACCATTGGCATAACCATTTCCATTTTTATAAGCTGCTGCGCCGTTTCCGTTTCCATTTGCGTAACCATTTCCATTTTTATAAGCTGCTGCGCCGTTTCCGTTTCCATTGGCATAACCATTGCCATTTACAAGAGCTCCATTTCCATTAGAATAAAGCGCTCCGTTTCCATTTCCGTTACCATTTGCATAGCCATTTCCATTGCCATTAGCATAGCCGTTTCCATTCCTGTAAGAAGCTGCGCCATTACCGTTACCGTTAGTATATCCATTTCCGTTTCCATTTTTATAAGCTAAACCATTGCCATTTCCATTGCCATTTCTATAAGCTCCATTTCCGTTACCACCATTAAGTCCTTTACTATATCCGTTTCCATTTCCATAAACAGCCGCTCCATTTCCATTGCCATTGGCATATCCACCATTACGACCATTTCCATTTCCATATCCACCATTACGACCATTGCTGTAAACTGCTAATCCGTTTCCGTTGCCATTACCATTGCCATTTCCATATCCGTTGCGTCCTTTTCCGTTGCTATAACCATTGATTCCATTAAGCCCATTACTATATCCATTACGTGCTTTCCCATTACTATAGCCATTACCACCATTGTATCCGTTACCATTTCCATTCTTACCGTTACCATTTGCATAACCACCATTTCCATTGCCGTAGGTAGCAGCTCCGTTTCCGTTTCCGTTTCCATAAGCACCGTTTTGACCATTGCTGTAGCCATTTCCATTGAGTCCATTACCGTTTCCGCCATTTCTATATTTACCATTTTGTCCATTACGATAAGCTCCATTTCCATTTGAATAAGCTGCTCCATTGCCATTGTAGCCATTGCCATTTCCATTTCTGTAACCATTAGAGATGCTTTGGTAAACGCCATTTTCTCCATATTTTCCACCTATTGCTCCTGTTCCATACACAGAAATACCATTGCCGTTTCCATTACCATTACCATAACCATTACTGTAATAGCCATTACCATTTGATTCTTTAAATAATTCAGCATTCAATTCATAAAAACTTTGTGCTAAACTGCAGTCAACATTATGATACCAATCGCAGACAAAGTATTGTTGATTGAAAAGAGTAGCATTTGGACATAAAAAACTATCTTGACGACCATCGGATTGACAAATATGAAATACCTAAAATTTAAAAATATATAAATTATTCAATTTATTTAAAAACAATATTGACTAAATCATAAATTTATTAACAAACCTGGCATTGAGCTTCGGGATCAGCAAAATAACCTGGAAATGCTTGATCAGCACAACTAAAACTCGTTAAGGGTACTTCACTGAAAACTGGGAAATCAACACCTGGTGTACCGAAAGCTTCCACACCTAAATCTTCGTATTCATCATAACCATTTCCATATCCGTTTCCGTAAATGCCATTTCCAACGCCGTAAACACCATTTCCATTACCGTAGGCTCCGTTACCATATGCTCCGTTTCCATTACCATTACCGTTACCATAAGCCCCGTTGCGTCCATTGCTATATGCTCCGTTTCCATTTCCGTTGCCATTTCCGTTGCTGTAGGCTCCATTGCCATTTCCGTTACCGTATGCTCCGTTGCCATTTCCATTACTGTAGGCTCCATTTCCGTTTCCGTTGCTGTACGCTCCGTTACCATTATAGCCACCATTAACTCCATTACCATTTCTGTAAGAAGCGCCATTACCGTAAGCTTTTCCATTTCCGTTTGCACCATTGTAGACGCCATTTCCGTAGCCATTTCCACCATTAGCATAAGCAGCCCGTTTCGTCTAAAATAAAGTTGTAAAAATTAGATTATAATGTTGGGTTTTGTGATTATAAGTAAAAAAATAATTCTTACTTTTTCAGCATGAAGAAAAGTTGCACAAACGCCTGTAATATAAATTTATTATATTATTTAAACATGCCAAAAGGTAAAATTATCTTACTACTCTAAAAAAAGATTTTTACAATCGCCACTAGGGTATTAATTAGTGCTGAACACACAGGAAAGATACTTCCTTATCTTCGCACTTGTCTTATTAATGCTCCTCCGATCATTTGTAATAAAAGTAAGTACTGTACAGTTTGATGGATTTTTTATTAATTGAAATAACTTTAAAATCAATGATTTGTAATATTTTTATGAGGAATTTTCTTTTAGGATATTAGCTTAGAGTATTTTTTATTATTAATATTTAAAAAAAAATACTTACTTAATAAAATTAGTGATATGCTTGTACACCGCATCGTGGTGGAATATTGATATTTGAAATAAAATAACTAAAAATATATAATAAATATAAATAAAAACTTTGAGAAAATATCGGAGTAGGTTTAGAAGGGATACATACGAAAATAATGCCAATGTATGGAGTTATATCTTCAGTTCAGTAGGCAATTTCTACTACAACTCGAAGAATCAGAGAAGATTGTTCTTTGGTGCTTTACTGATACTTTCAACAAGCTTATATACTTATTTAGGAGGCCCAAAAGGGGTGGAGATGTTCTACATCCAACAGCCCATCATAAGCTACTGCTCCAATTTTTCTTAACAAAATTGAAAGACAAATGACGCAATCGTGTCTCCAGGGCATCTTAGTTAACATAAGAGGGAAAAGGTGGACTTACTCGAGATTTCACTTTCCTATCGAGCGGTATTTTTGATAATTAATTATTGGAAATTGCCGTTTGTCTTCATGATAATCTAATAATAAACCTTATAAATATGTAGTAAGCTTTTAATTTGGGAATAATTTATATAAAAAAATGTGAAGATTTCTACGTAATTATATTGTGGGTATCAATTGGTTAATTATGTTAAAATGTAAACTTATGTAAGATATAAATCATTTCATATATTTTAATACTTTCATTTAAAAAACTAAAACTTTAAAAATAATTCAAGATTTGTATAGAAAATGTTTAAGAATGACTAAAAATCTTAGTTATCACGATTATTATTTGTTATTAATTTAACAAAATATTATTTTGTATCAAACGATGAAGCCCTTTAAAAAACTGCTTTTGATGGAAATACGGAATTGGAATATTATTCAATACAGTTGAATGCATTAATAAAATAAATTTTTCAACATATTCTATTATTTCTTCGCATGTAAGAAAGGATAAGAAGTAAATCATCGTTAACAATAGACTACAGAATCATGTCTGTCCTCTTTTTATCACATACTGTTTTCATAATCCTTCAAAACTCAGTCGAGCACAAGAATCTTCATTTCATACGGATAGAGTTTGACCTTTTCGGATAAAAGGTTATGAATGCTTTGTATTTTCTCTGTCATTTGACAATAGAAAGTAGTTTTCAGCGGGAGATCGCTCAACATTTATAACAGAAACATTTTTCATATCTTACGAACCGCGTTTGTGTCAATGTAATATAGCGAGAACATTAATTAAAGCTGTTAATATTTCTCCATAGATATGTCATACCGTATATGAATAAATAAACTTAATAATATATAGTACTAGTTTTATTTTAGAAGAGTTAAAATTTTTCATACTTCAAGAAAATCAATTTTAATTTATATACAATATTATACAACGTTTATAATCTAGATTTTATTTATAAATTTTTGAGTATAAAATCATACGTAAAAATTTATCTTTTTAAAATCAACTTATCTTAGATACAGAAAGAAATTTAAATTTTAATATTTATAATAAAAATAAGCATTGTTATTCGTATTATCATTGAAGTCGCGTGATGAATGCAAATTTAAATTTAATTACAGATATTTTCCTACTGTACAATATTGAAAAGAAGCAAGATAAAATAATAAAAGAATACTATTTGCCTTTTTGCCCTTATTAATTAAAAATCTTGCATAGTTTCCTTAACAAAAATGAAATCTTTCCTCTCCTTACATCACTTTATAGTCCAAATGAAAATTACAGAAGCTATAATTTTTCATGTAGACAGGCAAGATCGCTTAGAGATGAAAGTTTAGCAACTTTTATCTCTTTTTTCATTCCCCACCATCCCAAAGTAATATCATTGATTGGAATTCCCACGATAAAAAATCTACTTTAGGAAATTAATATTATTGTTTATATAAATATAAATTATCAGTTGTCTTTTTGACTAGTTTAAATTGAATTTTATATAAATTGTGCGAAAAAAATTGAAAATTTAATAATTGTATAACTCCTAAGTCTCTGTTATTTATGTCTGGAATTAAAAACGTGTTAACTAATAATTTGATAAATAAAAATATATCGTATACAATAAAAAAATTCGCTATGAGTTTATAAAATTATACGGATTTATTTTTTACTCTCCTCTCGGTAAACACTAAAAGAACCTTTTTTCTGAACAAGTCCACAGTGGGAAAGGTCGGATAGTGAGGGATAGTGTTCGACATATCCGGAAGAGACCACCTCCCCAAAAAATTCATGAGGTATTTCGAATGCCTGAATACGATCCCCGTTTTTATTCCCCCCCCCAGAGTGTAGGCTAACGACCTTAACCGCATCGGCCATTCGATTTGTAATATTTATTAGACATATATTCTTAACAATTTAGTAGATTTGTTTACATTAACCTAAACTGCAATATTCGTTTTTATTTAATATTGTTAAAATTGTGACAATGCCTATTTACTTTGGTTTGCTCAGGTTAAAATAACAACATATTTATTTCAGCATAAAATATTTTCTATTCTACACACTTATTAAATATTTAACGCTAAAATTATTAACTTTTTTTACCAATTTATATTTAATTACAAATTCATTTAAGAACATATTTAGAAATACATAATTAAAGCTAAAAACATCTTTTTTTTGTCCTTTTAATTTTATGAAATTTTCTCAGGTTTGTTAAACACAAAAATTACCACATTTTTGTATTGTATTTTTGTATTTTTTTTTAAAATAAGTTTGCATATAATCAAAATTGTTTTTATAAATCTTAATTAAATTCATGTATATGTGATACTGTATTATAATATACATATTATAATTTTTTTTTTCATTTCATTTATTTAGAGCGAGGTAATTGAGATTCTCAACGAAATCATTAAATAACGACTAAATTATTATTTTATATATTTACTTTGGAAAATTATTTCATTATAGATAGATAATTAAGAAAAATCTTGCCTTGAGATATGACAAAATAGAGAAAAACCTTAACATTTCAGCTGTCACTCCACTAGAAATAATTGCACGAAGGATATTAAAGAAAGCGAACAATTTGTTATTAGAATAGAGTAGCGCGGGTTGCGACCTTTCTAGGTCATATCAAATGATCCCGGAAAAGTATTATGAAAAAAAAATCTTTACAAATTTTAAGTGTAATTTAGAGTAAATTCAATTTATACATATCTCGTTTACTCTGTGTTACAGATTTTGTAATATTGATAGCTTAATGCCGTATTATTCGAAATGATTTTGTTATATAAGTTTTATTAAAGGATTCGATAAGTAAAATATGAAATAATAGTTGGTTATTTTATTAATAAAATTATTGTATTTGTTTAAAAATTAGAATTGGGCAATACGTGATAATGCTACATTATTTTGGAATATGATAGATAAAGTGATGATAATAGAAGAGATTAATGAAAGCGTTTCTTCTGACCGAACACCTTATTTTCCACTGTAATTTCCACCCATTATCACATACCTGCCGTCAGATTATCGGATATCTGAACAGTTGGCCCGATCGTGATCGCTGTCAGGTCACATCTCGTATGACGTCACGATGGCTAAGTGATATCTTCTCAGATAATAGATTTTGATTTTATTCAATACGAAAGAAGAAATGAGATACTATCATCATTATAAATTGTGTTAAAATCATTAAATATTATTTATAAATTATAAATAAAATTAATATTTTATTAAAATCGAAAAGTATAACTTAACGTTATAATAGTTAAACAAATTATATTTAAAATTATACAGAATGATTTGTCTTCTTAATAATGTGCTCTTTAATAAATAGAAATAATTTTGCTTAAAATATTTTCCTATTTTTAAGTAATTTACTTTCTACTTTTTCTTTCTATGAAAAGAAATTTACAAAGTATTTTAAGATAAATAAGATAAGAAATTAATAGAAAATATAAAAATAGCTATCTCGTATATATCGTGTCAAATTCACCAAAGCGAATTACTTATTAAATAGATAAAATTTTATAAAGAAAAAATTATTTAAGTATAACTCGAGAAAAAAAAAAAACTATAAATAATTGAAATAATTGCATTGTAAATAACACTAGTAATATAAGATTCCTAAATATTGTATCGAACATCTTAACAACTCTATAATTTGATAATCAAATTCGTAAAGGTTTTCATTTAGGTATTTTTTTAAAATATAGATCATATTAATATTGAAAAGACAAAGACCTGATTTTTTTTCTTATTAATATTATAGTACTTTCTCCATTACCAAGATCACGTTTGCTCCAGTTTACTTGAAAGATTCATATACTAAAAATTGTAAATCGTATGGATCCAGGTTGACCTCGTCATCTCATTTCGATGATATACCACATAGCTTCTAGGCAAATTTCCAATCGAAAGTTAGCACACTTCATCTTCTATATCATCTTTGATTGATTGTTTTGTATCAGATATTTTACTATAATTTACCGCTTTGATATTTCCCCATATCGATGATATCTGATTACTCATTAATAACGTTGCTAAAACTGTAATTAATTTTTTGATAAAAATCGATATATTGTGTATGTAGGACTGTATAACATCCTATATATATATATAAATTCGACAATAAGAACCCATTTTATTATTAAATTTTGTTGGATCTGTAAAATTCTCTTCTTGTTGGTACTAAAGAAATTGGTTCCGGTTCATATTATATTGCTTCTTTAAGCAACGTAATGTGAACTGGATCATCGATCTTGTTTCATTGAGTATTTATAGTTTTATATATTTTTATATATTAAAATATGAAACAAAAATTTTTGTATTTATGATTTCTACGAATACAATTTTTTTCTTTTTAAATTTATANTAAGTATAACTCGAGAAAAAAAAAAAACTATAAATAATTGAAATAATTGCATTGTAAATAACACTAGTAATATAAGATTCCTAAATATTGTATCGAACATCTTAACAACTCTATAATTTGATAATCAAATTCGTAAAGGTTTTCATTTAGGTATTTTTTTAAAATATAGATCATATTAATATTGAAAAGACAAAGACCTGATTTTTTTTCTTATTAATATTATAGTACTTTCTCCATTACCAAGATCACGTTTGCTCCAGTTTACTTGAAAGATTCATATACTAAAAATTGTAAATCGTATGGATCCAGGTTGACCTCGTCATCTCATTTCGATGATATACCACATAGCTTCTAGGCAAATTTCCAATCGAAAGTTAGCACACTTCATCTTCTATATCATCTTTGATTGATTGTTTTGTATC